GGGGTCCGCAGTCACTGTGCTAAGGGGGGCTTTGCTGGTCCGCCTGGGGGCTGGAACTTGGGGTCCCCCGCTCCCGAGCCCTGGCCGCCCTCGGAGGTGAGGAGCCCTCCAGTGCGGGGAGCGACCAGGGTTCCTGCGCCAGCCCAGCTGCTCTCCTGGGCGAGTCCCATTTCTTCTCTGGAGCCAGCGTTTTTTATTATTATTTTTATTTTTTGAGAGGACGTTCATTAAAGCTGGGGTCCGTGGAACAACGGTCGGAGGGGCTGAGGGTGGACGCAGCGCAGAGGAGAGCCGAGGCCGAGGCGGCTGCTTTGGCTCCGGAAGGGCGGAGGAAAGGGGCCTTGGAGACGGTTCAGGGTGAGCCTGGGACGAGCTGCCGCTGCCCGCTGCTCCCCTGCTTGCAGGTCTTGTGGGGACCCTTAGGGTGTAGAGAGCGAACGTACCTGGGAGAAAGGAGGGGTGCGCGGGCTCCAGCGTTCAGGACTTGAGCTTCCTGATTCCTAGAGCCCCCTCCACCTGGGAAGGGAGAGCAACCACACGACTGTCCTCTCTCATCCATTTGCGTTGCAAGTTGCAAAGGTAACATTGTACGCGTTTGACATGGAGCCTTTTCCCAGTCTAAGAGCTGCCTGGGCCACGCAGGCGTGTCTCCCCCGGCTGCCCTCGCTTTGTGGCGCTTCAGGGCTGTTGCATTTCTTACAAAGGCAAGGCCCTCCACCAGCAAAAAGGTTCTGCCGGCTTTATTGCGACACTGGCCTTGCTGTGGTGTCCTGGAACCAAACCCACCAGGTCTCCCGGCCGGTACCGATGCTGCCGGGCTGAGCTGTGTGCAGCCTGGGAGACAGAGGACCCTCCTGCCGAGGCCCCAGGAGAGGTTTAGGTCGGAGAGCAGACCCCTAAGTCGGGGCGGCAGGCCTCACCACAGGCCACAGCGGGCTCCCCTGAAGGGCCTGCGCATTCTTAAGTGGCTGAAGAGAAGTGAAAAGGGGAAAATGTGAAGATGGTAAGAAATTAGTCTCCGTGTCCGTCAGTAACGCTTCTTTGGAGCACAGCCATGGTCCTTTGTGGAGGCGTCGCCTGTGACTGCTCGCACTGCAGCCGGTGTGAGAGCCCGGACGGCCTGCGAGACTGAAATGTCTACCGTCCTCCCTTCACAGAGGAGGTCTCGGCTGGCTCAGAATGGGCCCCCGGGAAGCGAGGGCGGAACAGGAGGCCACGCCGCGGTGAGCACCTCCTGGACCAGCACCGCCTGCCTCCGAGTGCATGAGGGGGTGTTGTCAGCGTCTGATTGCCGCGTCCCCGCGTCCTTCCCTGTCCTGCGTGGCTATCTCAGGCAGAGGGAGGGCTCATCTGTGCCCTGTGCCCTGTGCCCGGTTCCACGCCTGCCCCAGCGCAGTAACAGGACCTCTGCCAGGGCGAGGGTCCAGTCCCTTTTGGATCATATCTTCTCCTTTAACAAAGGAAAATGCCGAAAGTAGATGTTTGATGGGTGGAGCCCACTGACCAAGAGCTCCTCCTTGCTGACTTAACCGTTCCTGGGGGGCGGGGTGGGGTGGGGGTGACTGAGCCTCTGGTGACCTGAGGCTAAGGGGCAGCTCTGAGCGCCGGGTTGAGGCGGGAGGAAGCTGATGGCTTGATTGTGGCCTTCCAGCCTCGTGGAAGCTGGTTTCTTTCCCAGGCCTCAGTGACCTTTATCCGAGGTGATCGCAGCTTGGATCGCCGCCCGAGAGCTCAGTGTCTGCTGCTGGTTAGGTGGACACCTGGCTGGAGAGAGCTGCCTGGCCCAGAGTCAGGGCCACTGAGAGGCCTGGGCGGGCACCAGGGCCATGAGCCGGAGGTTTTGGTTTTTGTTGTTCACATATTTTTATTGATTTCAGAGAGGATGGAGGAGAGAGAGAGAGAGACATCAATGGTGAGAGAGAATCATTGATCATCTGCTTCCTGCACACCTACTAGGGATCGAGCCCACAACCTGGGCATGTGCCCTTGACCAGTATCGAACCCGGGACCCTTCAGTCTGCAGGCCGATGCTCTATCCACTGAGCCACACCGGCTAGGGCCGAGCTTCAGGGTTTTGCTGGTAGGTTTTTTCTTAGCGACGACACTAAGAAAAGTGTAACACTTGGCTTTCACTGTGTCCTTACATACGTTTTCTCACTCCCTCCGACAGCCTGTGGTCAAGGAAAAAACATGGGCCCTGAGGGCAAACGGGTCAAGGTCTGAAACTTCCTGCCCAGTGACTGGTCTTAGTGCCAGCTCCTTACTCCCCCCCGAGCCTCCGCTTCCTCCTCTGTCAAACGGGGAGGCACCTCCTCACAGGCCTGTTAGGCGGAGTCCCCGGCATCGTGTGCGTAAGGGTCCATGTGGTCTGCTCGTAGCTGCCTCACTGACATGTCCTCACAGCTGTGCCCCTCTTCCAGCTGAGAAGACCGAGTCCTGCGAGTGCTGCGTGCCTGCTCAAGTGCCTCGCCCGCCTCGCCAGGCCGCCGCTCTGCAGCCTGCCCGGGCCTAAGGTGAGGAGGAGAGGGCTCTCTCCTCGCGAGTTTTTCCTCCTTTACGGCCCCTCTTCCCTCTGTGAGCTGGTTCAGTGCCACGTTTTGGTGAGCCCGTGGGATGTGTGACTGCCTGGAGAATGGGCCCGTGCTCCCTGCCCACTAGCTGAAGGCAGTGGCACTGCCCGCTACGCCCCACGCCCACCTGCCTGACTCGTAAGGACAGCTGGGGGCCTCGCGCCCTCCAGGCCTGGCACCAGAGTTGCTTTCTGAGTTAGTTCGGGTGGAAATACAGCAGGTCCTCGAATAATGTCGTTCCATTTAACATGGATGAGACGCTGTGGGGACTTCACTCTTATTTAGAGCAAGGGGGCTGGGGTGAAACGCTTCGTCTGTCAGCTCACCACAGTTGCAAGAACCCACTGACCGTGTCAGGTGGGGACACACTGTAAACTCCTGCTTCCTAGAGCATGAGTTCTCGCTTCCTCTTTTCTCCTCTGGACTTTCCCCAGAGGAAGAGAAAGCGGAAGGCTCAGGCCTGGGGATTAGCCGAGGCCGCGCCCAGTTCAAGGTGTGGAGTGTGGGGATCAGGAGGGGAGGGAAGGCCCGGCCCGCAGAGCTCACCCTCCCGGGAGAGCTGTTGTGTAGAGCGGGGCCCAGTGCCGTCCTCCCGGCGGCTCCTGTGGGAAGTGCGGTCGGGCGTGGTGTGGTCCAGCTGGAGTTTGATTCCTGCCCCTTCTTGCTGTGAGGAGGTGGCTCTTTATCTCCGGGTCCTGTGGGCCCAGAGCCCTGGCACCGGCCACAGCAGAGGAGACGCCACTCGGGGCCAGCTCCAGGCCTGCGGGGCGCCCTGTGTGCTGCCGGGTATGGGGTGGGGCCTCAGTCACGGTCCCTAACCAGGGGTCCGGCCTCACGGGGTGGTGCCCAGGGGAACTGAAAAGTGTCCGCCCTCCGGACCGAGAGCGCGGTCGTCGCTGGTGTGGGTGCACTGAGCGGAGGGACACGTGGCTGCTGCTGCTTCTAGGAGCCTGACCGGAATGGCCGAGGGACGCTTTTACCTGTCGGTCCTGGCGCTGTCCACCCTGGGCTCCGTGTGTGTCCTCTTCACCGTCTATTGGATGTGGAGCTGGCATGGTGGCTTTGCCTGGGATGGCAGCACCCTCACGTTCAACTGTCACCCGGTGCTCATGGTGGCTGGCATGGTGGTGGTCTACAGCGCTGGTGAGTGAGGTCTGCGTGGGGGACGCGCCGGACCGGCCTCTGTCACTGTTGGGCTCAGGGCTTGGATGTCGGGCGGTTCGTCTGCCTTTGGGCCCAGGTGCCAGTTGGAGGAAGAAGCAGTGAGAATGGGGCATGTGGAAAGGGCAGCTTCCCAGGTATTTTCTAGAAAAGGGGCTGGGGAGGAGGATCAGGCTTTGCAGGCCGCGTGATGGGTGTTGCAGCGACTCAGCTCTGCTCTGTGCTCTGAGAGTGGCCGTGGAGGACAGACACACGTGCGTGGCTGTTCCAGGAAGCTTCCTTCACAGAGATGGGCGGGCGGGCCTGGGCCTGGGAGCTGCAGTTGGCCGTCCGGCTCTGGGAGCAGGAGGTGGACGCCCTGTTGGCCGAGAGGGCCCTGCATAAGGAGTCTGCTTACTCCTGCCGGACCCATCTTGGCCCTGAGCGTCCAGAGCTGGGCTTGGGCCAGGGGGGGACACTGTGAGAGCAGCTTCCCCGTGTGCTTCAGGTCATCACCCCATTTTGCTTTTACAAGAAGCTTGTGAGGCGGGCTCCATTGCTACCCTCCTCCAGAGGAGGACGCTGAGATTAGAAAGAGGATCTGGGTGGCTAGGAGCCGGAGCCAGGATCTGGACCTGGGTCACCTAACCGGCACACCGGCCTCCAGACCACCTTGGGTATCGCAGTGACGGAAGGGCAGGTCCAGGAAACCTGTTCCTCCCTTTTTATCCCTGTCCCTTCTCTCCTGCCTTCACGGCTGGCTGGTGTCGCGGAAACGATGCAAGGATAGAAGACGCCGATGCGTGTCCTAGCATTTCCTCCCTCCCTCGTCGGAGGCTGTGTGGGGACATGTGGGTAATCCCCTGACGAGGGGAGGAGGCCGAGCCCTGGACTGCTCTCTCCGGCAGCGTCCCTGGTGTACCGCCTGCCCCAGTCCTGGGTGGGGCCCAAGCTGCCCTGGAAAATCGCCCACGCGTCCCTGCACCTGCTGGCCTTCGTCCTGACCGTGCTGGGGCTGGAGGCCGTCTTCAGATACCACAACAACAAGCACATCGCCAACCTCTACTCCCTGCACAGCTGGCTGGGCATCACCACCGTGTTCTTCTTCGCCTGCCAGGTGGGTGCTCTGCCCTCCTTAGGGTCCCCCCGCCGGATCAGCCGCGTGGGCTCTGCTTGGGGCTTCACTTGCATCAGCCCCGAAGGACAGGTGCGGGCCCTGGTCCCTCACTGCGTGGAGGCCGCCTTAGCAGGCACACCTTGTAGGTGGTCATTTGAAAGGGCCATGGAGACTGTGGCTCCGGCACTCGCCCTGCGCCCATCACCCTGCCGGCCTGCGGTTCCAGAGCGCCGTGAGCCGGGGGTTATGAGTCAGGACGGGAGGAAGCGGAGGCCGGAGGGATGACTGCGGGAGAGGGGCTTGCAGCTGCGCAGTCATGAAAGGTGCTTGTTTGTGTAGGAGAAACAGATCGCAGCGCGGACTCGGTGCTGGGGCATTTCCTGGCGGGAGGTTTGAGGGGAGCGAAGGGAGAAGGTCCCCTGACCCATCAGAGGCGCCTGTGGTCACGGCGGCTCAGCGCCTCCTCCCTGCGTCGCAGTGGCTCCTGGGCTTCGCCGTCTTCCTGCTGCCCTGGGCGTCCCCGTGGCTGCGCGGCCTCCTCAAGCCTGTCCACGTCTTCTTCGGAGCTTCCATCCTTGCTCTGGCCATGGCCTCCGTCATTTCCGGCATCAACGAGAAGCTGTTCTTCAGCCTGTGAGTGGGGGGGCCCTCTGCATGGAGGTGGAAGAGCAGGGTCTTCAGATGGCTCTGGTCACAGCCCTGCCGAGGGGGCCTTTGGGGGCTGGGCGTCCCGGTCTGGAAGGCAGCGGCCTTTCTTGGTGAGCTTGGCAAATCGCTCCGTCGGGATGTGGCCAGCAGCACCCAGACTCAGCACCTGCTGCGCCGAACTCCTCTAGCGTGCCCTCGGGCTGCCCTACGACATGGGCACCGTCAGGGCCACTTACAAATGAGCTCCTCTCGGGGAGGGGCGCCCTGCAGGTATCTGTGGGGCTGGGGCTCAGCAGCATGTCAGCACTGCGGGTCCGTCCCGGGAGCTCGCCACCCTCTGTGCGTGGCCCTGGGTCTCGCGCTGGGCGAGGACGGGGAAGTCTCTCAGGCCCACGTTTCTGGTCACCCACAGGAAGAACGCCACCAGGCCCTACTCCAGCCTGCCCGGCGAGGCTGTCTTTGCCAACGGCACCGGCATGCTGGTGGTGGCCTTCGGGCTGCTGGTGCTCTACGTCCTGCAGGCCTCATCCTGGAAACGCCCGGAAGTGGGGATCACGACCGAAGGACAGGTGCGGGCCCTGGTCTCCACGGCCAGGCTCGGGGCGGGCTGGGTCTACAGGTCACCAGGAGAGGCGTGGGCCTTACCAGGAAGACTAACCCAGGAACATGGTGGGGGACCGGGCAGCTGGAATGTGGGGCACTGGTGTCAGGCCAGCCCATCCCTGCCATCGGAGCAGATGCAGCTGCCCAGTCTCTGGGGCTCCTGGGGGCTGGTCCACTGGGAGAGGACGGGGGTTATTCCCTTCCCCAGATTCTTGTGGCTTCAGGAGGGAAAGTGTGGCCTTACCCTCCCCAGGGGAGCCTTGGGCGTGAAGAGGGGTGTCGTCACTTCTGCGTTCCCAGCTTGAGGCTGGTCTCACAGGTGCTTTCGGACGAGCTGAGTACTTGGAGGAGGTTCTGCCTGTTGGCACTCGGCATCTGAGGCGTGGGGTGAGGGGGTGTCAGACTGAGGGGCTCGGGCTTCCCTGAAAGATGTGACGTGGGGACTGAAGGTTGGGGTCTGTGTGAACAGCTCAGACCTAGTGTGATGCCTGCAGGTCAGGGGCCATTTTAACGTTAGGCCTCTAACCCTGTGCGCCTGCTGTCTTCCAGCCCCTGTTGCGTGAAAGGGAGTGAAGCGAGAAGGGACGCAGGAGCGGTCGGGGTGTGTCTGGACTCCCTCAGCACCTCTGCTCTACCTGGGGCTCCCGGGGGTTTGCCGAGCCCCCACCTCACCCACCCTGTGGGCTGCTCTCTCCGCCACGTGCTGCCTTTGTGTCTCTCGGTGCTCTGACTTCTGCTCTCCTTCCTGGCATCGACTTGTGAGGTCCTCCCTGTACACAGGCCCTTCCTGCCCTGGCTGCGCGCGCACTCCTGCTCCCTGGCTCAAGTCCAGCCGAGCTGGTTCCCTAGACACCTCGGGAGGTGGTGGCAAGTCCTAGCAGCTATGATGGGCCGACTCCAGCGCAGTCTGTAATGTGAAGTCGGCTCTCCCTGGGACGTGCACGTCATTTAGGCACCCACCATGGCTGGCCCCTGGACTTGAGGCGGGAGGGAGGGGATGACAGAGCAGCTCTGCAGGGAAACTGAGGCTGCCTGCTCTTCGCCGTTCTGTTCGTATCTCAAGTCCACTGTGACTGTGTGGCGCCATCGCTTCTCGCTGCTACAGCCGGGACCTGGGTCCGGCCTGTCTCCGCCAGGCAGCCAGGGAGCCTGAACCTGCTGTCCCCAGCTGTCCCAGCGGGGCGGGCTGGCAGGGGTGCCTTACTCCTTCGCCAGGTTAGGGCTCCCCTGCCTGTCCCCGGCCACCACGACCCGACCAGCGTTGGGTGCTTTGTCCCAGCGGAGCCGAGGACCACGGCCACCTTCGCAGGTTTGCTGAGCACGAGCGCCTCACTGCTCCCACAGCGGCTGCGCGCAGGCCCCAGCCCGCCTCGTGCCGAGTGCAGCGCGATGGAGCTTTTCCAGAGAAGTGGGGGAGCGGCCTGGCTCGTCTCCTACGTGTTGGGGCTTTGGCTTTTCCTGCCTCCACGAGTCCTTCTGGGTCCCGGGGCCACACTGCTGTGCAGAAGGCAAGCAGCTGACGCCCGGGTCTGAGTGTGCTTCCTCTCTGGCCCATGGCGATGGGCGACTGGCCCGCGACCCACAGGCCAGATGCCAGGACTCCGCCTGAACCTCTGGTGGCCGACGTCTCCAAAGCCACCTCGATGGCTGCCAGGCAGCTGGGTCACGTGACCCTCCTTACCACATGGGTAGGCATTTCACCTGTTTGTAAAGCCTGATTCTCATTAAATATGTTTTCAAGAACCAAAGCCTCTTCTACTGAAATGAGGTTGTGGTTAAGGGAGTTCTGGGTGGTGAGGAAAGGCCCAGGACAGTTCTGACCCTGAGGCCTTAAGAGGACTGTCGCCCGGAGCCGCTTCTCTGCTGTGGCCCCAGCACTTCCTGGTGTGGACTCCCCCACCTGCCCGAGGTCACCAACAGGAAGTGGTGGCGCTGGGACCCACTGGCAGGTGTCTGATGCGTCTCCTCCCCAGCTGCTGGGTGTGTGCGTCTGCGCACACTGATAACTGCCTCGCGGTCGGGGACCGTGGGGCGGCTGGTGCACAGGAGCCCTGGGCTGAGTGAGTGATGGCCCCCAGTGTGACCAGCTGTAGTGTAGGTGGTGGCGCAGGACCTGGAAGTGGGGAGCAGACACCAGTGAGGAGTAACCCGCAGGGAATGGCCCCCGGACTGTGCTGAGGCTTCACATCGATTCGCTGGATCCTTTCCTATTGTCCCCACAGGCGGGCGCCATTCAATTTCCCCGATTCCAAGAGGCTAAATGACGGGCCTGAGCTGCTGGAGCTGGTGTGAAGCAGAACAGGGACTCGGCCGTGTCCATGTGAGGGCACACCAGGCCCTGAGACCGGCCCTGCACGAAGCACGGGTCGGTGTGCGCTGCCCTGCCCACCAGCACGGGGCCCGGCAGTGCCGCCGGGATTGCTCTAGAGCAGGGCTGGCCTGGGCGCGGTTCCTGTGCCCCCACCCAGCTTACACTACGGTGGCTTCTCTTCCTCTTGGGGTCCCATGTGCCCGCTGGCTTCCTGAAGATCAGTGGGTTCTGCTGGTTTAGTGCTGAGAAAAGCACACCGTCGGGTGTGGCATGTGTATTGGGTGGACAGACTGGGGTCCCGGTGGAGCTAGCCCAGCCGTGCAGGCCTGGCCTTGGGGTTTCAGTGGAAGGAGGGCTCATCTTGCCAGGGGCTGAGCACTGCCCAGGGCAGCAGAGGACGGCTCCTCACGCCTGGAGACAGGGCCTCAGAGGCGGCAGCTCTGGCTCCGATGCGGTTTATTAGCTGCTTTTAACAGTGGCACCGGCTCAGGTGCAGGTGTTTCCCGGGAGTCTTGACACCACATCCGCAATGCCAGTTACGGCTGTGCTGCCCCAGGTAAATGCCTCGCTGCTGAGGCCAAGGCGGCTGGGGCTGGGGCAGAGAGGGCTGAGCCCGGGGCCCGCCTTCCCTGAGTAGGCAGTGACCCCTCTGGGCCTGCAGTCTACACTGCAGTCGCTCTGGAGGCTGGCAGGGGTTGCTGAACGTGAGGATGGGCGTGAGAGGCGGGGGAGGTGACTGGACGGTGAGGGAAGTGACAGTGGCAGCCTCTGCACAGTAGTGAGAGTGGCACTCACAAACTCTCCAGGTTCTGCAAGACCTCCAGGATGGCCCGGAGGATGGCCGCGGCGGCCACTGCCCCGGGGTCTGGCTGGTCGAGCTTCATGGAATTGATGTAACTGGCTCTCCCAGCTCCAGCTGTCATGTCCTTGGTGGCCTGGGCCGCAGCTTCTGCGCTCTGAGGGGGACGGAGAGGAGCAGGGTAAGCCTCCGGCCTCCTCCTGCCCTGGAAGCAAGGCCTGGGCGGGGGAGGCCCTGGACCCTCCTGTCCCAGCTCTGCCAGCGCCCTCTGTTCTGTCCCCAGGGCAGAGCGGTCATGCTCACCCGTCTGTAGCAAGGCCCGTGGCCCCATTTCCTGAGGACCTGCTGGGTCCCAGTTACCAGGCCGGGCTGTTCACCTTGAGCCTTGCACACCCTCTGGACAGGCACTCGTCTCCATTCTCAGGAGAGGGAGCCGAGCACAGGACGGGTATTAACTGGCTCCCAGCCTGTCCCGTTGGCTGGGCCCCTCCACTCACCTCCACTGCCTTGGTCAGGATGTGGAACAGATTAGCGTTAGGGTGCCTCAAGGCTTGGAGCTCCTGTCCTGCTGCCCAGAGAGAATCCAGCTGGACAAGATGAGGGAGGGGGGTGAGCACAGGCCCTGGCACTGAGGGTGGCCCTCAGGGCTCTGTGATCAGAGGGTAAGGGCTGAGCGCGCACACACCATAGTCCTGTCTCCTGGGGCAGCCTTCCCATACCTGCAGGGGAGAGAACAAGCGGTCACTGGAGGGGGTGCTGGGGGGGGCAGGGCCTGGCTGGGAGGTGACACTCAACCCCCCCCAACCCCCCCGGGGCTAAGGCACAGGCTTCACTCACTTCTTCATGGCCTCCAGGCCGGCATCCATGGCAGCAGACCAGGCTGGGAGGTCAGTGCTGGCCTTGAGGGGCTGGGCCGCTGCGGTCAGGAACAGGCCATGCCCAGGTGCTTAAAACAGTTGTGTAATTTTGTAAGGAATAATTGGAAAATCTCGAGGGGCTGGGCCGCTGCGGTCAGGAACAGGCCATAGAGCTGGGAGGACCAGAATTTTTACACTCAGGCCTGGCCTGGGCCGCAGCCAGCCCAGGGCCGTGTCACCCTCCGCCCCGGGGACTGCAGCACTCACTGCCCCGGACGAGCCTCCCATCTTCTCCAGCAGCAGGAGGGACAATTGGGAGAGCATCTTGGCAGGACTGGCAGGGGGTGGGCCTTCCCTCAGCTGCTCCTGGATGGCTGCAGGCGGAGGGGGGGAGGTCAGAGGCCCCCGCAGCAGGCAGAGGTGAGGAACGGTGGCAGGCCCCCCCCAGGCCTCGCTTCCCGGCTTCATGCTCCTCCTCGGCCGCCACGCCGTCCTGGGTCTCGTACTGGGCATTAGCCACGCCGGCCGCTTTGCTCACTGCTGTACCCAGACTCGCCTGGCCCCCGAGAGGCACACACTACTTTTCCTGACCGACGTGGGACAATGAAGACGGGGGCACTCGCCCGGGGACTACAGAGCGAGTTCCCTCGGAACTAGTGCCTCCGTGTGAAAGAGATGCCTTGTTCTGCAGTGACAACCCCCCACGTCTGCAGTGGCGCAGGCCCGTTCTCTGTGAAAACGGTGGACGGGGTGTGAGGCTTCGTGCAGAACTGTGCTTGGCCAAAGGAAAGCTGGCAGCCCATGCAAGCACTCCAAAATTGTTCTGGTTCATGAAATGCCAACATCTCAGACACGTGACAGTGAGGGCCCTGGCACCCACCTCGGGCAGCGCGGCTGTGGGTGGTCCCACAGTCCCCATCGCCAGACACACGGTCCAGGGCGTTCAGGTACTCCTCCAGGTCCAGGAGGGTCGTGCACACCCGCTCCAGCACGAGCGCCATCCGCTTCGAGATCAAGCCTGTGGGGAGGACAGCGGGAGGGGGAGCACCTGGCCCTCGCACAGCTGAGCTTGACGGGGTGTGAGGTACGGGCGTTAGGGCCCCTGCACACCCCTCACCCTTCGGGACTCAGGCCCATGCCCGGGTCACCTACCCCAACAGCTGGGCCCGGTACCTTCTGTAGTGAAGTCAGGGGCCTCTGAGGGCCGGGAGGGGGCTGCCCGAGTCCGCTTCCGCCCCGTCACGGAGACCTTGGGCATGTTCGGCCAGGCCGACGCGGTCGTCTCAGCATCTAGCGGCAGCAGGACGACTCTTAGACATGGGGTGGCTGGCCAGGGGTCACGTGGGACCGGGATTCCCCCTGACCAGTTCCCTCCGTCTCAAAAAGCAAGTACTGAGTACCCACTGTATACCAGGGAAGAGGGGCTGTCCCTGGGGAGAAGCCTAACACCAACTCCTCCAGTCATGCAAGAGCTGGAGACGTCAAAAGGGACCCTCCCGGGGGCCTGATGGTCATGGTCAATGAGGAGACCTCCGGTGGGGTCTCCCCAAGGCTCCTGCCTCCTTCCAGCTATAAGGACCCTGGCTTGGATGACCCAGGCTCAAGGTCTCACCTATCAGTTTCAGCAGGGGCTCATCCACCAGCAGAAGGGTGAGAGAGAGGCCTGGCATCTCCAGCGATGACATGAAGGTGCCCACCAGGGCACGGGCAACCTTCACCCCGCGGCCCTCTGCAATAGCAAAGCACGGACATCCATGAGGGACGAGAAGGGCGGTACTTCCCCCGGAACAGAGAAACAGAGTAAGAGAAGATCAAGGGCTTTGGAAGTGGGGCCGAGGCCAGCAGGGTGATGGCCAGGTCTGCCCAGGGCCTCCCTCCAACGCCGAGTCACCGTTCCCTGGCCGTGTCCCCTCTACAGGTCAGGTGGGTCACCGCAGGTCTCACTTGCTGCGCTCTCACAGTGCCAGGCACTGTGCTGAGGGCATTAGGTGTGTTTAGTCTCATTTAATCTTCACAACGACCTCGGAGGCAGGCACTGTTACTTTCACCCTCCCAAAGACAGGGACAGGTCAATACTCGCCATTAGGTGGCAGAGCGAAGACCTAACTCAGGCTCGTTTGACTGCACAGCCCAAGCTCTGGGCCACCACAAGACCCTACCTCAGCTGCTTTTCTTTTCTTACTTTTTTAAAATAAATTTTTTATTGGTTTTTCAGAGAGGAAGGGAATGGGAGAGAGAGAAATGTTGATGTGACGAGACATTGATCGGATGCCTCCTCACACCCCCTACTGGGGAATTAAGCCTGCAACCCAGGCTTGATGCGTCCGACTGGGAATTGAACCGGCAACCTTTCAGTGCATGGGACTAGGCCCAACCCACTGAGCCACACCAGCCAGGCTCAGCTGCTTTCCGTATGTGCAGCTCCACAGGCTGGAGGGAGCTCTGGGTGCCAGCAGGCCCTTCCGGGGGCTCACCCAGAGTGCGGACGGCTGCGTCGGCCACGATGCCCAGCTCCAGGACCGACAGGCCGCCCAGGTTGTTCACCATCAGCACCACCGAGGAGCCTGTGGGCAGACACGACGCCGGTGAGACTCTGGGCCCCTCACCCGGGTGGGGTGGATGGGGTGCTGGGAGACAAAGGTGTAACAGCCCCTCACCGCTCTGCACAGACACATGCGACACGCTGGAGGAGTTGGTCATGTGGTCGAGCATGAGCGTCACGATCTGGTCGGCAGTGGCCATCTGTCGGAGGGACCCACGAGTGAGCTGTGTCCGAGGCCT